ACAGAAGTCAAAAGAGAGTGCGGATAGGCTTATAACGCTGAATCCATTGCTTGATCTTGATTTTGGGTGTTGGACGTCTTCTACGCCTTAGGGTTCTGCGTCTAAACGACGAATTATCTCTAGCTAGATGGGAGGTGTAGAGAATTAGAGAATGTAACCCTAGGGTTAGGGACGCATAAACCCCTTATTTATAGATGTTGTACTTTTGTATTTAGGCCGCTCAATAAATTAGCAATTAAACCGGTGTATCGTGCACATATATACCTGCATGACGTCATTTAATACGCAAATTAACCCATACTTAATTGATTCACTTTAATGGTTATGCGGCCTGGAAAAATAGGCAATACACCGATTTGATTAATCATATGTGGCCCGTCGCGACAAATAGGAGTTTATTAGATGTACAATCCAACAATCTCCACTGGCCACTGGCACCATATGATTCCTAAACACTGTGCTATAACGCGTTTAACTAGAGGCTCCAAAATATGCTGATCACTGAACGTGGTATTTCGCGAAACAATCTCGTCGGCATCGAGAATGACATAATACCATCAACTATAGAGATGATACACTAAAGGCGGCCTATTGACGTCAACATTTATCCGTGACGCGATCCGCATGCAATGGTCAGCATATTATAAATACAGATCAAATGACTGATCGAATCATAGGATATAGCAGTAGCATGAAAAATTAGCATTGGCAAATGTGACTCAGTAACTCCTGTCTATTTTCAACTGGTGGCCTCTTAGTGGGGCGCCTCACGCAGTCAAAACGGGGAAACATAATGTAAGCAGAGATGTCTTAACTGAAAACTCATTATTGCTGGATCGCATGACAATAGCAACAAATAAAGCAGCGCGGACTCGCAAAATACCAAACGAGTTCCGCTACTAAACACATATATCCTCAAATCCACACCCATATGAGCAGGTTCCGGTATGCTCAATAGAAGACCTTAAGGTGGTAATGCCCGTTAGTAAAGAGGAATGCAGGCTATCATGGAGTTTGTCCGCAATGTGGCTCTATGGATATGCTGTCCACAGCGTCTGTACCGGTCTTATTCTTATCAGGGAACCAGGAACTTATGTCAATATGTTTTGAGCTTAGTCTAAGCCTCGACTGTTAGTTATTAGAATAACGATTACCCGCAGATTTATTGTCACAGATAGTAGCCTTAGTGGTCTTATCGAAAAGCATTTCCAAAACTCGCACTGACTTTATGGGCGAGGCGCTTCGGCCGTCCCGTGAACAAAATTTCGCGACCATATTCCCGGTGATTGATGTGCCTCATAGCAAGCTACAAATTCTGGGCTGCCATAGTGGAGAAGCTAAATAGTGTTGTGTTTGATCAACTTTTTCCATGTTGCTCCTCCTGCTAACATACAAGCTAAATGTGGCCTGATGGTAGACTTTCTGCTATCTTGCATGACCAGGCAAAATCAGAGCTGAATACCGCAATGACCTCTTAATTTCGTGGTTTTTTTTTTTTCATGTATGTGAGCATGTAATCTTTTGTTTTCTGAAGATACCGCATCATAACCCTGTTTGGACTGGCTATCCAATGAACCAGCCATACAGGGTCTGCTTAAGTATCTGCCTAACATCCCAACCTGTACGCAATATCGAACGGCGTACATCCTGAAGCATACATTAAGACTTCCTCCAGCCGAAGCAATAAGAATCTCATGGCATTTCCTGAATTTCAGGTTACACTTTAGGGCTCACTGATGTGAGACTAAGACTTGTCTCCTTTAGCCAGGGTGTCAGCGTGGTCTGCAATCTTGCATTATAGCGCGAAACCTTTTAAGTACTTATCGATATAGCTCTTTGTGATAATCTTAAGAAATCGTACCGCCGGAGAGGGAGAGCGATCTCGGATGGTATCAGGTGGATCCCTATATAAAGAGCGTCCGCCGAAAAGAATCTTTCATCTCAAAATTCTTTGATAGAATCGTCATTGTTTCGTGGGCAACTGCTATATGCATTATTTTTGTGGGCAACAAGATGTCATCACGATAGCAGAACGCAGAAAAAATATACTTACTCCATTCAACTCTGCGGCCGCCACTGGAACTTGTGATATACTCGGGACAGCGGAATTACGAAATATGTTCATGACCCAAAACCGGAGACGAGATAAACTATCTTGTAATGAACTTATGATACCAGTTGACGAGGAGCTTGCTATGAGTCCAGTAGATGGACTTTCCTTAATTTGCAGATCCACTATTCTTTGGATGCTCCGAACAAGTTTTCTGGTTGGCGACCATATAGATCATACTCATCAATGTGCCATTCGAGAAAATAGCTGTCTTAACATCCTACTGAATGTAACTCAGATCATCAATGAGGACGAGTACAACCTAAGTGGCATGATTATGTCTGAAAGAGTCTTTCGATGAATACTGGGAGAAAGTCTGCCTGATAATCAATGGCCTTTCCTTTTGAGTATAGCGTTTAGCGCACACGAGACGTGCCTTATTACCTCTCGCAGCTATTACCAATTTTGGCAGTCCCGCTTGGGTTTTAAACCATAAGCAGCATTTACAACCAACTCGTGGTTTTGCGCCACCTTCTGGTAATCCGGGGTATACAAGTATCCCGTCAAAGCGCTTATTGTTCTGGCATCAGTATACACACATTGTACTCTTCATTCATGGGCAGAGTCAATCCAGTCGTTGTTTTTTTTTACTGGGGTCTCACAGCTTAATTAGGGCCTATAACTTAATTGAATAAATTAAGTATACCAAAGTGGACCCATAAAAAGCCGACGCTTAACCATAATGAACACGAAGTTCCCTTAACTTCGAACGCGAGGTACGAGACTCACTTAAGCACGAACGCGAGGTTCGTCTGAAAATGAACGAACGCGAGGTTCGTTTGATAAAAGAACGCGAGGTTCAACTTGGGAACGAACGCGAGGTTCGTTAAAAAAAATGAACGCGAGGTTCAACTGAAGTACGAACGCGAGGTTCGTCTGAAGTACGAACGCGAGGTTCGTCTGAAGTACGAACGCGAGGTTCGTCTGAAGTACGAACGCGAGGTTCGTCTGAAGTACGAACGCGAGGTTCGTCTGAAGTACGAACGCGAGGTTCGTCTGAAGTACGAACGCGAGGTTCGTCTGAAGAACGAACGCGAGGTTCGTTAAAAAATTGAGCTTGACGCTCACCTGAGTTGAACGCGAGGTTCACCTTAGAACGAACGCGAGGTTCGTTAAAATTGAGCTTGACGCTCACCTGAGTTGAACGCGAGGTTCACCTTAGAACGAACGCGAGGTTCGTTAAAATTGAGCTTGACGCTCACCTGAGTTGAACGCGAGGTTCACCTTAGAACGAACGCGAGGTTCGTTAAAATTGAGCTTGACGCTCACCTGAGTTGAACGCGAGGTTCACCTTAGAACGAACGCGAGGTTCGTTGAGCGCGAAGCTCGGTTAAAATTGAACGAACGCGAGGTTCGTTTGAGGTAACCACCTCCTTAATTTTCGCCATGAACCCTTAGGGTTTCAAATTGAAACCGCCGCCGACAAACCCAAAAAACCTTTGATTTTTCTTTTCAAAACAGATCCAGAATTGGAAAAAATTGAAGGAAAAATCAAAGAAAAAATCCAAAAAATTCCCAAAAGTTACTGTTCACCGACGATTTTTCAGTTACTGTTCATCCGAAAAAAATACTTTACTGATCATCCGAAAAAAAAAATTTCGTTACTGTTCATCCGAGAACATTACTGTTCATCCGAACCCAAAAATTGAATCTTTAACCAGAGATTTAAGATCAAAAACCCAATAAAACTTAAATCCCTAAGAATTAATCAAGGTGGCTCTGATACCACTTGTTAGACCTACATCATAAAACTTGAGATCTAAAACCATATAGCCATGATTAATTCAAAGAGATTAACAAGATCAAAAGAGAGCGGAAGCTTATACCTGAATCCATTGCTTGATCTTGATTTTGGGTGTTGGATCTTCTAACCTTAGGGTTCTCTCTAAAACCGAATTTCTCTAGCTAGATGGGGGTGTAGAGAATTAGAGAATGTAACCCTAGGTTAGGGACCATAACCCCTTATTTATAGATGTTGTACTTTTGTAATTTAGCCCCTCAATAAATTACAATTACAACCTGGTATCTGCACATATAACCCCATGACTCATTTAAATACCAAATTAACCCAACTTAATTGATCACTTTAATGGGTTATCCTGAAAGATAGCAATACACATTGATTAATCATATGTGCCCACAAATAGATTTATTAGATTAAATCCAACAGAAACTTCATAGGATAAGCTTCGAGCTCACAAGAGAAAATCTATCCCCTGACACGAGAATAAGAGAATTCTAAGCATAATAGAGTCTAACAAGATTGTTCGACCATGGAACGTCAATCTGTGTGTGTCTTGTGATGCTACTTGAGCTAGCTGACAAGTTACTAATCAGCAACTAGTCTACCCATCTCAATAAAAACACGAGGGAAGACCGTGGAAGCAACCAACCAAACAACCACATTAGACAGAATGTAATTAACTTCAACCTAGAAAAGGAAAAAAAAATTGTAACCAATTCATGAAGAAACTAAATAGATTGGAACTTGCTTAACATCACAAGATACTCGAATAAGATAGGCGGAAAGCCAAAACTAAAAGCCAATCAAATTACCACTAATTAAACACAATACTACGTATCACGAACAATAAATATAGTAATTATAAAGTAATAAAAATGAAGGTTCATAGTTAAGAGTAAGGGATTCAAAGAGACAGGAAGCCTTCTTTGACAATGAGACCGAAGACGAGGATGAGGAGGCCGACGGTGAGGCACTGTGTTGTGCTCATCATCGTCTGCGAGTAGGCGCCCACCGTGAATCCAGCCCCAACGAGCCCTATCAACAATCCAGTCAAGTTCCTGTTCATTGCCTTCCTACTTTTTTTTCCCCAGTATTTGAAATATATTCCTCTTCTTGCTTTTTTTCTTCTTCTTAAAACCGAGGGGAGATCGTTAGTTAAGCTTTTGAGAGGTTTGATAAGTCAATAGTCAACTTCTTTCACAAACTCCCCCCAATCCCCATCCACTTGGTTTTAGATCTATAGAATAGATTTAGAATAGTATACCTTTGACTAACTATATGCTAATATATTTGTTAGGCCAAAAATCCTGACGGAACTACGATGTAACTCAAATGAGAGTTTACAATGCCGACCGTGTTCATATTCCATTTATAATTAGGGTTAACTGCAAATAGACCCTATGTAGCATCGCCCACTTGCAAAGAGACCCATTGTAGTTCTACTTGCTCTGAACAGACTCCGTATTGTTCTACTTGTTGCAAATAAACCCCCTGTAGTATTGGCCAAAGTGCGAATGCATCCCGTTAGTGAACTTTTTCAACTCTTTTAAATGTGAAGGAAAAAATAGCAATTGGGCATCTATCCTCACCAATAAAACTATAAAGGGTCTATCCACTCAGACATTGTTAAGGATTTTAAGAGTAAAAAAAATTCACTCAAAAATCTATTCACAACAAGTAGAACTACGTAAGATCTATTCGCAATGAATAGAACTACAAGAAGCCTCTTTACAACTAGGAAGTACTATAGGTGTCTATTGGCAATTAGCCCTTATAATTAACTAGTGATTGACGTTGATGCGATGTAGACCGATAACCCTACCATATCTCTTTGAGACGACTGAGACGAGGGGAATAGATGAAACAGCAAGGAATGATCAATTCAAAAAATAAAATGAAACAAAACAAAAATGAATAATAATTAAAAATAGAAAATTAATAATAAATAAATAATAAAGAACCTAGATTCAGTAATTTAAAAAAAAAGAAAAAAGAAACCAGATAATGATATTGTGCATAGAGGCCAAGTAGAGCTAACAAGCATTCTTTAGTTTACTTTGCCAATCCAAAACTTGTTCTGTGTCTTAACCGATTCTCCTGATTTTTCCTTTTTCTTTCTTTCCCTGAAACTATTCATTTTCAAGTATCTCTAGTGTTCCATCTTAATTCGATATACCTGGTGATGCCACTCCGACTAACCAAGTTTGGATACTCAGAAAAACACCGACGATAAAGAAGTTTATACATAGAACGACCTTGAATCAATTCCAACTTGAACACTGAATCGTCGCCTCAGACTTTTGTACATGCGTCCACCAGATGCCTGTGAGTGCAGAAGAAGTGCACCCTCGATTTCTAAAAACTCCCTGGTTTCTAATAAGGGCATGTTTGTTTGCACAGAAGTAATTGTGAAGTAGCTGAAGTAAAAGAAGTAGAGGCTACTTTTGCTACTTCCAAGCAAAAAAGTGTGTTTAGTTCTCTGAAAAACTTACTTCTAATACTTCCCTAAATGCTTATGTGGTGCCTACGTGTCATCCTTACTTTCAAAATATTTTTCCAATCTTCAATACTCAGAAGTAGCTCGAAAGTAGTTGAAATGCATATTAATTATGACATAAATAATTTTTTTATTAATATTTCATTTATTAGTTACTTCTAACAACTTTTCATTGATAAAATTACTTCCTAATTATATTTCCAAATGTTATCCAAACAAAAAAGTAAATGAAGAGGAATAAGTTCTACTTCCATTACTTCTAAAAATATATAAAACAAACAAAAAAAATGTTATTTCCATTACTTCCTACTTCATAGCTTTGAAAGTTACTTCTATAACCTACTTCTTACTTCTAATACTTCCATTATCCAAACGGGCCCTAACTGGGTTTAGGGTGTGTCTGAATTTCACTAGGGGTAAGGAAGTTAAGGAAAAATAGGAGAGAGAAGAGAAGAGAAGTTAAGAGAGTTCGCTTCCCTCCATTACGCTCCAATTTGGGCAAACAATTTTTGTGTTGTTTGGCGGTGATCTAGGGGAACTCTTCACCCCCATATAAGCTATCCAAACGGGGGGAATGTCTCTCTACCTTCCCTTCTCCCTTGTTCACCGCAATCCAAACATACCCTATTAACGTCCATAACCATTACCCACCCACAAACATTTTCTTTCGAATGTTATGGTTGTCATCAGATTACTCTTTTTGCGAGTGTGATAAAGTAGAACTATCAACAATTACATAGTCTGCAGAAGCATAAACAAGTTTCGACAGCAAACTAATCTGCAATATTTCTTTCATTTCAATAATTAGGCAAAAGTTGGAAAGAAAAATTAAGTTATAAAGAATGTTAATAACCTGATGGTGACGGAGGAATAACATCAATGTATCTAGCATGAGATATTAGGAATAATTTTAGATGAGGCAGTTACCAGGTTGTGGCTTCTGAACACCTTTCCCCTTCATTGCCTCTCTTACATCAAAAACATCCTTCCACTGATGTTTAGTAGCATACATATGCGAAAGCAGAACATAATCGCTACTGTGATCGGGGTCCAAGCGTGCTAGATGCTTCTTCGCTACTTCTGCCAGTGCAAGGTCTCCGTGCACCCTGCACGCTCCTAACAATGTCCTCCACACAACAGCATTGCTCTCCATCGGCATCTCCTTTATTAGCTCATAGGCCTCCCTCACAAGTCCTGCTCTCCCGAGCAGATCAACCATGCATCCAAAGTGCCTTATGCTTGGACTTATTCCATATTCTCTCTGCATCCTGTCGAAATATCTCCTCCCTTGCTCGACCAGGCCTCCATGGCTGCAGGCACACAGCACTCCCAGGAACGTAATGTCACTGGGCTCATTATATGGCTTGTTGCATTCCAGCATTCGATCGAACAGTCTCAGCGCATCATCTGAATTCCCATGCACAGCAAGTCCTAATATCATCGAATTCCACGATACCGTGTTCCTCTCTTTCATAACCTCGAAAACTTGCGCCGCCCTGTCAACTGCTCCGCACTTGGCGTACATATCGATCAGGGAGTTGGAAACGGAGATGCTCTGATCGAGAACAGAAGCGGTAATACTGGAGTGGACCCGTCCGCCGAAATCTAAATTACCCAGCTCAGAGCAGGCAGAGAGGGCCACAACCAAGGTGGCCTCGTCGGGCCTGAAACCGCTTCTCTGCATTCTCAGGAAAACGCTGCACGCTTCCTCGTACCCGCTGCATTGCACGTAGCCGTCGAGGAGAGTGTTCCAAGAGACCAGATCGACGTGGCTCATTTCTTCAAACACCTTGAGGGCGTCATCCATGCCTCGGAAGAGTCCGTACATGTGGATGAGGGTGTTGGAGACGTAGACGTGGGAGTGCAGCCCCTGCTTGAGTATGCAGCAGTGGACCTGCTTCCCCAATTCAACAGCCGTCGACTGACCGCATATCTTGAGCAGGAAGCAGAAGGTGAAGTTGTCGGCCGGCTTCCCCCTGTTCCTCATCCTCTTGTACATGGAAAACGCCTCCTCTGTTCTGTTGGTCCTCCCGAACCCTCTGATCATCGTGTTGAAAAGGAACCCGTCAGGATACTGCAACTCCTCGAACACCGAGGCCGCGTAGTCCACCGAACCCTGCTCCGAGGCGCAGCAGAAGGAGACGACTCTGCCCGCCACGAAGACGTGCTGGTCGAACCCGGTCTTGACGATCTGCGCGTGAATCCGACTCACATCCCTCGTGTTTGAGCAGCATTGTTTGAAGAGGGCGATCAGGCTCTGCTCTCTCGCGTTGAACTTCTCCTTCTCAGGGTCTTCTTGACCAGCGTTTGCACTCGTTGTGTAGTCCTCGGAGGGAGTTGGTTGGCCCGCAAGCGCTAGAGTCCTGGAACAAGAAGCAGGTGGCTTTCTGATGTACTTCGATATGATGCTCATAATACCGTCTCTAACATCCTAATGAGGAGTTTGAGGATTTATAACAGCAAGAAGGGAGAGGCCCTGAGAAGGAGTCTATGTGCAATTTAACTCTTCACACTAAACATATATGCCCAGCTCTGCCCTCTCTGTCAACCAGCCCAAGTCAAAGCGCAGCCGGCCTCTTTTCTCACTCCTTTGTGATCCATCGATTTCCTGATCATCTCAGCCCCATGCCACTCATCCGCGCAGGAGTATATGCTGGAGAGCAACACATAATCCCCGCTGTGACGGCATCCCATCTGCTCCAGCTTCTCCTTCGCAATGCGTCCCAGCGCAAGGTCGCCATGTATCCTGCACGCACCCAGCAGCGTCCTCCATATAACTGGGCTCGGTTCCGTTCTCATCCCAACGATAAGCCTGAACGCTTCTCGTAACAATCCTGCACGCCCGAGCATGTCCACCATGCATCCGTAGTGCTTCAGATTAGGCTCCAGTCCGTACTCATCTGTCATCGCACGCCAGCATCTGCGGCCCTCCTCCACCAACCCATTGTGACTGCACATTCCTAACAAACTCACAAACGTGACTTCGTTCGGCCTCACGTCCTCAACCATCTCTGCAAATAGACGCATACATTGTCTAGCATGTCCGTGGACTGCTAGCTGCTAGCCCGCCGATGATAGAGTTCCATGTCCATACATCCCTTTCCCTCATGTCTTTGAAGACCTCAAGGGCTCTATCTATGCTCCCGCACTTTGCGTACATGTCTATCACCGCATTTCCGTGAAGCAAGCCCATTGTTCCGGAAAAGGAGACTAGGGAGCGGTGAATTCTCTGCCCCACTTCCAGATCCCCACAATCCGCGCAGGACGCTAACAAGCTCATCACAGTGAACTCATCAGCATCCATCCCTACGTTTCCCATCTCTTGATACACCCCCAGCGCCTTCGCGTGGAAGCCGCACCTGGCGTAGCCAGAAATCATGGCGTTCCACGAAACCACGTCTCTATGAGGAGCTTGCTCGAATATCCGTCTTGCATCCTCCATCCGTCCGTGGCTTGCGTAAGCCGTGATCATTGTGTTCCATAAGACCGTATCTCCGCAACAAACACTTGCTGCCTCGTCAAACAAGCAACTAGCAACGTCCAATTGGCCTCGCTTGGCGTATCCAGCTACGAGAGAGGTGCGAGCAACCACGTCTTTCTGGGCGGCCTCATCATCTTCAAACAGAGCGCGGGCGACGCAAAGATCCCCGCATCTGGCGTGGAGATTTATGAGCGCGTTCCTCACGAACGCGTCCGGCTCCAGACCAAGCTTGACAATCATGCCATGTAGTTGTGAGCCGGCGGGCCTCGAGGAGAGCTTTACGCAGGCTTTGAGAAGGAAGAGGAAGGTGAAGCCATCGGGCCTGCTGCTGCTAACATTCATCATTTGGTTAAAATGGGTAATGGCAAGTGAAGGGGTGGAGCTGTGAGCGGTCGCCCTGATGATTGCGTTCCACGTGGAGAGATTTGGCTCTGCAATTTGGCCGAATACCCTGAGGGCGTACTCCATAACGCTGCTGCTTCTGTGGAGAAAATACAAGTGAAGTGAAGGGAGGAGGAGGCTCCTGCTGATCAATGGTGACGAGTCAAGAGCACCTTTGACGACCATGAGACCGTGGAATCTCTTCAGAGCTCCAAGGCTCTGCCACCTGCACGTCCTCCTCACCATCATTGCGCATAACAAAAGATATACGAATCACAGAGTCGTGTGTGTACGTGAACATCTGATCAGAAATTTTCACTGAGCACCAATTGTCATACATCACACCAGTAAGAGTTGTGTATACAAGAAAAATTATTTAAGTAGCTAAAAGGCTACATACGAAGTGCATAGATTCTCTACACAACATGTCGTAGAGAGTCTTCACAATTCACCAAATACATCTCCTCACTCGATGGATCATATGAATAATATTCTTTATTTAATTTCTATAAAAAAAATATTTTTATTGTGGAATTCACTAAATCTACTAATGCTATTAACTCATGTAACCAATTGCAGAGGCTCTCTACAATCAAAGATGTAGAGAATTTTTGCTCACGTGGGAAGGGTTTTCGAGATTTATTGCCTTTTTTTTTTGGGTTACTTTCTCATGCTTTTGATAACATAACATAGTATGCGTTGCCAAACATTCATTCTCCGCACGCGTTCTGAACTCCCTTTCGCCAATATTACGTGTGTAATAAAGAGCAGTAGCATCCCAATTCATTACTTCAGTTGAAAAATTTTACAAATTTCGTTTCGATAGAGAAGGATCATTTTGAGTTGCAACTACACCGCCATGGCTTGTTTCCATGCACGCCCATTCCTTTTTCCACCATTAAACAAGGTGAATATCGGAGGTGCATGTAAAGAAAACACGGAGAGAGATGGTCATTAACTGTATAATTGTGTACCAAGTTGTTAATTTACAGGTGAAGTGTAGTGTCGACCTCCTCCGTCTTATTACTGTTACAATCAAATTCAGATACTTTGGGAGTATGATGCATATGGCTGACGGTTGATCGAACATCACGCTGCAATCCTGTGGAGAGAGAGGTCGACAGGCTGTGCTGCTGCTGGTTATAGGGATGAGAATGGAGTGGGAATGAATTGGAAGCATGAAGAGCAGAAAACATAGCCTGGAGCTCCTCCCTCCCTAAACGCCTCCTCGTCTGTTTCATTCTGTGAAGCTGCCGAAACCTCTCCTGCAAGAGAGAGACGGAGGAGGGATGACGAGGGACCAAATTAGACCCCTTGTTGCTGCTCTTACTATGTACACTGTCTCTTCCCATGGCCGTTTAACGCTATCTTCTGAGAGAGTGCGTGTTGTCGAGCAATTTATATGTAAAGCTCTCGGTGAGAGTGAGGGCGTGGTTTGTTCGTTTTCCTTTATCCAAGAGTGTACTAGAGGAGGATTCTTTCTTTCAGAATGCAAACATATATGCAGACATACATACATACATACATGATGTAACAGGAATCGCCGCATGGTTGCAAAGCCCAAATAGAAGAGGCAGGAATCGACAATGAGGTAGGATCGAAAAGAACAAAAAGAGAGGAGAGGTTAGCATTTGGAGGAGCATTCGGAGAGAACAACAAATCTGATCGTTGTCTTTTGTCTTCGATACATTGCTCATCCCTCTGCATTCGGCCGGACTACCTACCAAAACACCGTCCGACATTCGGCCCGAGTACCTGACACACAAATATACTCACCTCAGTCCTAACCCCGGTTCTGACATAATCATTTGCAACATTTCGGTTTAAATTTTCTTTTTGTGTGCGCTTCTGATTGAGTCCATCCATAAATACATCCGGTGGCAGATCCAGGATTTTGTCTCAGTGGTGTTACGTAGATCAGCAAATTTGCAGCTTTTTTCTCCTTAGTGGAGTCCAACGCTAATTTCAACAGGATTTTAAATTGTAATTACATGTAAAAATAAATTAAAATATTCATGAAGCTGGCAATCCACTGATAATATCTCGTAGATGGAAGAATATAATATTCCTGTTTGATCCTATCGACGATATAAAACAGAGCAGAGGGTGGCAACCTTTTAACTTATCCTGACTTTACTCTCCCCCTTATTTCCTTTTTTTCTTATTACTTTCTTCAGATAAATAGATTTTCTTGCTTCTTCGGTCGGCTACTCCTATTTCCTTTATTGTCTTGGAACTGTTGGATCAAATGGCGGTATGGCTGGTCGAAAATGTCACCACACGCGCAAACATAAACAAAGTTAAAAAAAAAAAAAAATAAGTTAAGAATTCTAGCCTGGGACAAAAGAACGGACTTAGAAAAGCCGTTGCCAAAGAGGCTAAAGCCGCCTGACATGCTTAACTACCGTCTGCGCATGGAATGCACACAAACGTATAGGGAGACAAACACGCGGGCCGCATCCGAGATTTGGGAATTTAGCATTTTTCTAACTAAACTACAATGAATAAATGCAGAGAGTATATAAATTTCGGCAGGTCATCTGGACCGCAACGGTATTATCACCCGTACATGAGAGCAGTGAACTACATAAGAATGTTATCAGAGAGAGGAGGCTCAGAGGGTCATCTAGACCTTCATGAACAGCAAATGAACGATAATATCTGAAGAAAGTGACAACAGAGAAATGCAACAAACATGACAGGATAGGCTATGACTACAAAGTAGTGAACTACATAAAGAAGATATAGCTCCAAGACTGATCTCGCTCATTAGAATAATGGTTTGGTAAGACAGTTTATTCTGAAGGATTCTTCGACAGCCTCCCATAAATCAAAATGTACTTGAGTTTTATCTTTCGAATACATCATCAGGTTTCAGCTTGTCCATAAAAGTTCAGTTGGCAACTGGAGGGAATAACTCAAAAGGTTATGAAAGCTAAAACACGTACACTTCTAAGTCATTGACATACAAGAACTGAGAAGTGCTTACTATGAATGAACTGCATCATAAGTCATCAAGTAACTATAGCCTACTGCACAATAAAAACGGTTGATCAAAGGAACAGAACAGCATTTACTTAGTGGCTGCGAATTAAGGTGCAGCTGAATGAGAAATTAAATGATTTATCGTCAGCGAGGGGCAAGGCGCATCATCCCTAACCCTATTAGGGATACAGTGAGGAACCATAAGATGGAGGTAGACCAGGCACGTACCCATTGTACGTCATAGGCCTGTCGTAGAGGCTACTCGTGCCTTGAAGAGATTGTGATGAATAGTACGAGGTTGGTGGCGGGCTACGAGTCCGACCATGGTCCAACATGGAGCCACCAAGGCTTGGAGCACCAATGCCATGGCTATGGACATAAGCACTCGAAGAAGCAAGGTCATATGAGCTAGGAACACCGATATATGGGGCACGATCAGCTAATCCAAGCTGAGGCTGGGTGTGAATCATTGGGGGATGTTGATGATGATGATGACGATGATAGGGATTGGCAGTCATTACAGCTGCTGAAGTGGTAGGTGATAGCCGGGGTCGCTTCTTGGACTGCTGCTCCTGCTGCTGAGACTTTGCGGCAGCAGTGGCGGTAGCTATCACACTTCTCTTTTTCTCAGCCTTCTTGTGCTCTAGCTGTGTGATCCTTTTGACCAGACCCACCCGTGGATACTCATTCTCTAGCTTATACTCCTCAACAGCTTTAAGCACTGATTTCAATGCTCCCAACTCTTTTGCAGTCGCCTCATTCTGTTAAAGATAACACAAATCCAACAATGAGTACAACAGGCAAACACCATAGGTAGGAGCACAGAATTGGGATCAAACATTACCTGTGCTCGGGCTGAATGGTTTCCTTTCTCTCGTACTTCTTTGGCAATCTTCTTGGCTTCAGTTATGTAGGCTTTTAAAAGGGGGACAGGTGGATATTTTTCCACTTCTTTCAAGGCATAGATAAATTTAACAGCATCGAGTTGTCTACCTTTCTTGTTCAGTTTCTGAATAAGCTCTGAAAAAAGTAAAAGCAATCATGCATAGATAACTTGTATATGTAGATGTGCAAAACCTACAGATTGCCGTGAATTCAAAAAAGAATTATTTTATTGTCTGTTATTGGTTTATCAGTCAATGGATCATATTAAAAGCATAAAATGCAAGCTCCAACCTATGGTCAAGAAACACCTAGTTAAAGGTAGTGAAGAGACAAATTACACTTAAAGAAAAACAAAGGTGACAACACATCTCTTTTAGGTAATAACATATAGTTAAGCAGATAGGAGGATCCACAACCAGTTGCGTCAAGCTAGGCTACAACTAAGTCCACGCTACAAACTAATAAAAGATAAATAACCATTCACAATTTGGAAATGACTACAACATATAAACACCAATTACTCATTGAGGATGGTATTCTGTATCACGTATCACTCCTTGGCCATTAGTTCCAGAAAAAAAATAACATGCAACACGTGTAATTAACATAAAATCAGGTAAATCAAGATACCAGAATAAGGCTGCAGCTTACCAGATAACCGATTCCATGTCAAAAAGGGCAAGGCTCAGAGTCAAAACCTTTTAAGACAACAGTAGCATCTACATCATAAGGCTTAAAAAATTCAAAAATTAGCTTAAAGTCATTTTTCTTACTTGTTCAAGTAATATGTTTTTGCTCATAACAATTAGACTTGTATATTTATGCTCATAACAATTAGACTAACACGTCTACTTCATTAACTAAAAAAGGCCCTTGTTTACTCATTGAAAGGCATTAACCATATGTCAAAATTCAATAGAAGGTTTCTATCATGCAATTGAGAGAAAAAGAGGAGTGGAAGGGGGAGGAAGTCGAGCAAAAGAGGGGGAATAAACATGTCAGGGAAAAGGAGATCAATAAATAGATTTTCTCAATGATCGAACAAAATGTGACTCTTGGAAGAACAAGAGATGATGAAAGATGATAGGAACCATCACTCAATTATGATATTTGTTAGAGAAGATGAAAAGAAAAAGTACCAACTACTGCCCAAAAACAACTGTCATTACACTAGTGTCCAGACTACCAACAGTGCAATACTAATTGCACTATAATTGGAGCTGAATGGCAGTTGATTAGATATATTAGAAAATGAAGATTTAGCTAGCACATCGCCTATTAATTCAAGCATGTTCTTGGGAAATACTTTTATCAAATGATTTTCTCCTAAAGAGTAGGTCTAACAGTTACAAATATATTCATAGCTACAGAAAGAACATAAGTGAGTCAGCACCCAAACAAGATACTTTGCCCCAAGTAGCATCAAAGGCAAATGAGTAAAGATAGTGTGTGAATGGAAGCTTTATTATTTGCTTCAATATGTGTATAAATGAAATAAAGTAAGAGTAAAGATGATCAGTCTGTTGTGTATAAGAGGATCTACAAAACAAAATCTATATATTGCTATTAGCTTGCTAAAATAATAGGTTAAAATTGGAAAAAGAACTTTAATTTGCGATCTACTCTGTTATCCACAGTTTGGAGTCGGGTCTTCCTAAAACAGGATTTGAGAGAAAAGTCACTATTCAGAGTTTCATGTACTCTTTAGCAATTGTTTCACAAAGATCTAGGCGTTTAGGTGGGCATGGTTTCTTTT